TATTTATTTTTAATAAGTCAAAATTTTATGCTTTATATTTGAAGTCTACAATTTGTAACATTCATAATTTAATGTTATACAGTAAAACCTCGAAAACTCGGCTCTCGATAACCCGGCACTCCGGATAACTCGGCCACTCTCTGGCAGGGCAAAAAAATCCTTAGTTAATTAATTTTCATTATAGACAGCTTTATAAAAGTATAAAAGCTCTCATAAAGTATTTTTCTGAGGTCTGTCTTATCAGGTAAATTACTATACACAGTGTATTCATTAATTTTCATTTTCATGTAGTAAAGGCTCTATGCCTTCATAAAGGACGTACTTTTCCTTTGTTTAAGGGTATTTGGGCAGTTTATTCTCTGTTATATTCTCAAGTAAACAATACATACAAGTACAGTACAGTATTTTCTGAGGAAACACTCGTACTTATTTTTTTTAACCTCATTCCCGATAACCCGGCATTTTCACAAACTCGGCCACTCTTCGGTCCACATTAGGCCGAGTTTTCGAGGTTCTACTGTATTTGTATTACATATTATATATTACATACATATATAATATATATGATACATTTAAATCTTTTACAAATTCATTCTCTAAATATATGTCCCAGGATACCAACAACGTGACATCTATTTAATAGTGACTCACTGTGATTTTTAAATTAGTGTGCTATTTAAAGTCAAAAAAGTATAAAAAGTCAAAGAAAATCTAATCGACAGTGATTCAAAATCTTAAATATATTTTAGTACTTTATATTATAAGAATATTTTATTATAGGCCTAGTTAAAGTGTGGAACTATAGCTATATTATTTTCAATACTATTAGTTAATAAGAAAATATGGATCTATATGTAGATCTCAACCAGAATTTTAAACTGAAAATCTTGAAGTTCAAAAATATATTGTAATTAATAAATATTTTGTCAAAAATATAAAAAAATTTTTTCTACTACCTTCTCAATAATAATGATTTTCTCTAATTCCTATTTTCTTCAAGTGCAGATGGCAATTTACTTTAAATTAGATCTTTAGGTTACAATCTCTAACTTTGCATTTTTTTTTTTTTTTAATGTATCAGAATCAAACTAACACTTTGCACTTTGTAATTTTTTAACAATAAATATTTGTAAATCACAAATTGAAGCATGATTCATTTGTTTAAACACATCAAAAAGTTCTCTTGAATAAACTCAATGGATGATATGAATATAAACTAAATCAAAATTTTCTGATATTTTTTTCACATTAAATTTTTTATAATGCTTATTAAATAATATTATCTTTTTTAATATAAAAAAATTAGAGAAACCTATAATATATACTCCTGATGTTTTAAGTTTCTTTTTTTTTTAAACAGAGGCTTCAAAAGTTTTCTATTATTTTTAATTGTATAAAACTAAATTGAATATATTTCAACAAACATACATAAAAACTATCAAAAGAGAAATGTCAATATTTTTATATATTTTCATTTATTAATAAATATTATTTCTTTAAATTTAATGGTCAAATAATTAAAGTTAAATAAAGCAACTGTCAACTAATATTCATGTTATCAACTTTGGTAAGTATTCCAATCTTCTGTTTGTTAAGTTAATCTAATTGATAGTTGGGTTGTCCAAATAATTAAAGTTAAAAAAAGCAACTGTCAACTAATATTCATGTTATCAACTTTGGTAAGTATTCCAATCTTCTGTTTGTTAAGTTAATCTAATTGATAGTTGGGTTGTCCATTAATTACATGTACAGTATTTGAGCCGCTTTTAATCCACTCCCTCCCTGTTGCGTAAGTGATTGTTTTGGCAAATCCCCTCCTCTTTAATTATGTGTACACTAGTTCATGGACACCTTTTACATTGAAGAAATGAGTTAGAAAATATTTGCAGAACTTTTTTAACTGATAGTTGATTTGATTGTATGAAAAAAATACACATGAAAAAAGCCTACACAAAAATTGTTCACAGAAAACATGCCATTGTTATATACGCAGAGAAGAAAACTGCCCACATTGAAAAACATGCACAAAGTAATTTTCATGTAAAGTTGAACATGTAAACACAGTTTCAAGTACCATACATATTTATAATTGTAGATAATCATTCATCTCCCATTTATGTTACCTATATTAAATTGTTACCTATATTTTAAACTGTTATTAATATCTTATAATTAAATAATAATTTTGCTATGTTATAAGTATAGTAATTCATTGCTATGCAAAAGTGGCCTGTGTATGAAGAAGACTTTAATGCTTGAGTGTAAATGTTTTCAATGGAAAATACAGGTGATAAGATAACAATTTTTTTTTTATCAACAAAGTTTATTCAGAAGAAAAACAATAATATAAACAAAATAAATATTATTGAATAAAACAGTTATTAAATGTTGGTGATCCCATGAATCTCCATCCCCATTAGTTCTAGAATGCTATGATTCTATAGAATCATGCAGGACCCTCAACCAGGTTCTTTAAATATTAATGAAAAGAGTTCACAAAACTTTTATTTATGTTTTTTCTAAAGGGAAAATAGGCAGGATTTTTAAAAACATACATACATATTAAATTCTAAATAAAAGTATTATTTTTTTAAATTAATAAAGTTAAATAATTTATTTAATTTACAATTTGTCAAACTTTTTAATGTCAGTATAAAGTAATTTTTAAATTAAGTTATATATAGATTACCTAGCTAGTATATTTAGCTTTTAAACAACTATGGCTTAAAATTCTTCAAATGCCTATTATTATTTATATAACTTAGTTTAACAAGATGAAATAAATTAAAAGTCAGTTTTATAGCTCAATTTCCCTTTACTCGTATTTTAACAAATTTATTGTGATACACCAATTGACTACAAAAGACTACTTAACCCTAATAATAAAAACAATTATTTAACAATAAAAATTGTATCCATAAAGATAGGAGTCCTGCAGAGAGCAGACAAACTACACCAAACAACAACTAACAATGAATGGCCATAATTGTCATCCCATATACAAAGAGAGGCAAACAGAACTTTTAATTTATTATAATTCTTTAATTTATTCTTTTAAAAACATATAATTTATATAAATAAGAATACTGCATCTTTGAACACTGCTTTTAATATATTCATAATTTAGATTTTATTATTTTATAATATTGTGAATCTGAGCAATTTTCTATATATTTTTCTGTGTGGGTGTTTTTCAGTGTGAGTACTTTTCCATATGTGCATTTTTTGTGTTTTTATATGACATTGGATTTTCTCTGTGAAATTTTCATGTGCATCATTTTTCTGGTTAGGAGTTAGGAGTTTATTCACATAATTAGTAAGTAGGCTTATAAAAATAAATTCATATGATACAATCACTAAAAATGTTCATGTAGACACCTCAACCCTCTTCCTCACTATCATGTCCAATGATGTATTTTTCATTACCCCCTCATCCCTGTAAACTGTCCACATAATTGATGGACAGACAGCATCTTGCAAATCAATCTGTGTTATATATTTGATAGAAATTATATTCTTTCAATGTTGCTATGTTAACTCTTAGAAATATCTTCCTAGTTAAATAAGCTATCACAATTATTAAATTCTTTTGGGCTGTTATTTATGTCAGGGTAATCCAACAAAAATTTGCAATTTTCTATATACAATTGTCACAGTCTACTTATGCAAACTCAACAGAAACATATCAAAATTTTAAAAATGTTTCTTTGAAGATATGTTCAATATTTGGTACTATTTCCTTATGTAAATGTACATTTTTAACAATGAAAATTTATAATAATAAACAAAGCAATAGATTATCAGAACACAACAACTTGTCACTACATAAATGTAAATTTCTATTTTTATAAATTTTTAAATTTCTAAGTTTTAATAAAGCTGCATACTGCTTAGTACTCTTAATGAGAGCACTAAATTTGTAATTTAGCTACATTCTTCATTTTTTAATTAGGAATTCAAAACAATTTTTTATAAGTATACGGTAAAAAAACATATTTCTCCAGCCTGTGACTTAAGCTGAAAGGCACAATTTGACTCCTAAACTAAAAGAAGTTGGATCATCCTGATTTATGTGATTATTTGAATTCTATATTATCATCATCTCTTGAAAACTAACAATTAGAGTTTTGAATTTTAATTGATTAATTTTATATGTTCTTAAAACCCCTAAAAATAATTCAGTGTAAAGCAGAATTTACACCTGCAACTCATGTTTTTTCAGATGCTTTTAAAATTAAGCAATTAAAAATTAAAAACTAATTATAATTTTGAAGAAATTTTAAGTGTGTATCTAGACCAAATTTCTTAGTATTTAATTCCACTAACAGTATAAATATTACCCTGGAAAAATCCAGCAGTTTTGGTAGTTCATTTGATTATTAATTTAAAATTATATAAAANAAAGTCCATCACCAAAAGGTCAGTTTAGTAATTTAAATATCTTAGCATTAGTATGTTAAATTTTTTGCAATAATTTGTATACATAATTAAATTGAGAAAGTGTAGAAAAATAAAATTTCATAAAGAAATCAGTGAAAAAATTTTAATATAATTTCTTGAAATAAAATTTTATAAAATTATTACTATTATATTTAAAAATCAATTCAAAAATTTTCTCTCAACTAAATAAATTTATGTACAAATTATTATAAAATGATATTAATGTATACCAAATATATATTTTTGAACTGAAAAGGAATTCATATAGAATACATAACTATTATAAAATATGGTATATATTATCATACATGCCATAATTTTTATAATCAACATAACTATGTGAAACCATGGAAATAACAAACCTTAATGAAATTGATAATAAAGATACATTTTCATAAAAATAAAAGCATGTAAAATCCTGATAATAATTGAATGCCAGTTTGTTCTTTTATTAAAATTTACATAGATAATTTTATATGTTTCTGATAAAAAGTATACCAGCCATAAATAAATTCTGGTATTCATGGTATATTTTTAACAAAAGTGATTTGCCAACTTACCTAGTATCAGATGATGTAGTTTTCTTTATAATTTTATCATTTGTTAATCCAGAAATATTATTTTCTTCTAATGACTGGTCTTTAATAAATAAATTAGTTGAATCAATTTTATCATTCAATGAACTTCCATCATGTGTAAGTATTGGTTTAATATAATGCTTTCTCAAAACAGATGATGATGATGATGGAAACTGTATATTTAACTTGGATTTCAATGTTGAACCTGTATTTTTTGATAATTCACTAGGAATATGAGAATCATTTTTAACTGTATCTTCTACAGATAAAGAGTCATTTACAACTTCATCTGAATGATTTGTTGCTTTGTAAACTGACAATTCATTTGACACAGAATCATTAGATGGCTGAGTACTTGTCTTAAAAATATCTTCGGCTGATGTTCTCCGTAGAATTGATCGTACGCCTAAATCAATGTCTTGAAAGTTTCTTTCATCATGACTTTTGCGCCGACTCTTTAAAATTGGTCTTGGTCGTTCCTCCAAATCATCATCTAAACTATATTTCTTTTTCAAAATAGGTCTTGGTTCTGATTTAAATGTATCAAACTGAATATCTTCAATACTGCTTTTTTTTTTCAAAATTGGTCTTGGTCCAATATTAGTGCCATCATCAAAACTTCTATGCTTTAGAATTGGATGAATTTCTGGACTGCTACTACTACGTGCTCTGCCATCTTCAATACTTGCTTTTTTCAGAATGGAATGAAGTTCTGAAGCTTGCATGTAATATTCTTTTTCATCAGAATTAACTCGTTTCTTCAATATTGAATGTGGTTTTCTTATTATTTCATTATCTTCAAGAACTGATTTTAAAACTGACTCTGTTTCTTGCTCATCAATTGACTTTCTTTTTAAAATTGATGGTGGTGGTTTCATTTCAAGATCAAAAGATAGTGAGCTATATTTAATGTGTTCTAAACTTTTAGTACGTGGTCTGATCTGTTGTTTTTCAATTTTCTGGTCATTTGAAATTAAAGTATCAGATTTAAAAAGATCAGAATTAGAAAATTTCTTAGTATCTTCTGATATATTATTTTGCACATTCAATTTTTCAGGAACTATAATGGAGTTAGTAATTTCCTCGTGAAGGTTATTTTTATCACTAGAAGAATCCATTCCTACAGAATTCCAAATACTTGTAGTAGTATACACTGGATTGGACAACTTTACTGAAACTGAATAAATAGCAGGGGATTCATAATCTATGTTTTTGGAATGATTACTTTCCTCATGTTTATCAACTGTTGATTGCACACTTGCATTTTCATGCATCACATCATGATCACTAGTTGTTTTAAAAATAGAATTACTACTCTCTTCAATCTGTCTTTTACATTCTAAAATTGAATTAAGTAACTCTTGCGTCTTTGAATGAAAATCTAATAATGTTTTATCACCATCCGAATTTTTCTTATAATTAGTTTGATCATACATGAAATCATCCTTAGGTTCAATTTTTCTAGGTATTTTATATGATGATGATAAAGCATTAAAATCTTTTTGTATTTTGTTTTTCATTGAAGATGATGTTTGACAGTTCTCAATTTTTATTTTATTTGATGATAATGATGTTGAGTCCAGTTCATGGAGATTATTCAAGATTTTTTCTTTAGGTGGTGAAATTCTTTGAGTTGTTTCCTGAGGTTGATGAAATGTTTTGGCAGATCGTACATTCTGAGAAGACTTCTGTTTTTGATGTTCAGGTGATTGTCTGTAGTCATCAGTTTTCCTATTAAACCTGCTATCACACTTTTGTGATAGACAGATAGATAAAATAAATATCTTAACACTAAAGTTTTAACTTAAACATCAGATAAGATCACAAATATATAATAAAATCTTTTAATTATTTCAACTCTGTTTTAGTTAAGGTTTAACATTAAATACAAAAATAATTATAAAAACTTAATATCTAATTGAACACAACTTTTATTATTTAAGATTTCAAATAAGAAAAATTATCAAAAATAAAAGGGGAAAGAAGAAAAGTCCATCACCAAAAGGTCAGTTTAGTAATTTAAATATCTTAGCATTAGTATGTTAAATTTTTTGCAATAATTTGTATACATAATTAAATTGAGAAAGTGTAGAAAAATAAAATTTCATAAAGAAATCAGTGAAAAAATTTTAATATAATTTCTTGAAATAAAATTTTATAAAATTATTACTATTATATTTAAAAATCAATTCAAAAATTTTCTCTCAACTAAATAAATTTATGTACAAATTATTATAAAATGATATTAATGTATACCAAATATATATTTTTGAACTGAAAAGGAATTCATATAGAATACATAACTATTATAAAATATGGTATATATTATCATACATGCCATAATTTTTATAATCAACATAACTATGTGAAACCATGGAAATAACAAACCTTAATGAAATTGATAATAAAGATACATTTTCATAAAAATAAAAGCATGTAAAATCCTGATAATAATTGAATGCCAGTTTGTTCTTTTATTAAAATTTACATAGATAATTTTATATGTTTCTGATAAAAAGTATACCAGCCATAAATAAATTCTGGTATTCATGGTATATTTTTAACAAAAGTGATTTGCCAACTAATTTTAATTTGATAATTTAATTATCCACATTTATTTCTCTTTGGATTTTGTTCAAATCCAAATTATATGAAAATGCATCTTAATATTTACTTGTAAATTTCATAATAGTAAATTATTAATAATTTAAAATAAAAACAATTAATAATAATATATACTGTAATTTTAAAAAGTCTTTAAATATTCACTATCACAATACACTGAAAAAATTATATATTATCAAAAATACATTAAAAGATAATACGGAGCTTAAAATAGAATAATAATTAAAAATATCATTTGAAACTTAATTATTTGAATTGTCCTAACTAACTTTTAATTAATATAATAATTCAACTAATTTCATATTTGATCATGAGAAAGTTCTTACATTACTATCTCATTAGCAAATAAAATCTTGTTTTCTTTTAAAATTTTATTCTGTAAATCAAATCAAAGTAAATCGAACATATAATAATTATAGAATAAAAATGTATCTTTTTATCCAAACTGTACAGAAGATCATTAATCATTGATGAAACATGAAATTAGGCAAATTGTTGTAAAGGACAATGATTTGATTTTGAAATACAGTAGAGCGTCGATTATCCAAATCAATTGGGGACTGGGGTTGTTCAGATAACTGATATTTCGGATAACGATTATGTACGAAAAAATAATTTAACGTATCTGATGTTGAAATTTTTCTCCGTTGTGTGTCGCTTCGCATTGAATTTTCGTCGATGTTAAGCCTAATGAAGACTATTGTATCGTTAAAAATTATTTTTTTATTTTGTACAAACAAAATAAATATATTGAAAAATATAAAAACAATAAAAAATTATACTTCAGATGTTAATTTAGTATCAAAAACGTAAAATATTTGAGTAGCCCAAGATATAGCCAAAGATTGAAGCGCCACAGCACTGACAAAAATTTAAATTTGCCAACTGGAATTCTTTCGGATGATTGACGTTTCGGATGATTGACATTCGGATAATCGATGCTCTACTGTATTCTTATTTTTTTTTAACTGTTACACAAAATTTTCAATCAACTTCAGAGTTCATATTAATTAACAATTCCATTGATCAATGAGTAAAAAACAAAAATTTATAAATTTTTTTTAATAAGCTTAAAAAGTTGAAGAAACAGCATAAGATTTCTATCATATACTTTATGATTTCAATATTTCATTGTGATAAAATCCAAAATAACTTCTGTTGGATATGTTTTGTCATCTCAAAATTACTATTACTCAATCAAGAGTTTCAGGATGAATTCATTATGCACAATCTTTTTATCTTATAGTGTATTAATAGCATAACCACATTCTAATTGCAAACCTACTTTTATAATAGTAGCATGCACTTCCTCTTGAATATCATTAGAATTGATGCAATCACTATCACTATTACAATGATTTTGGCTAAATTAATGATCATCAATTTCTGATATTTGATCATTTTTTGAAAGGAATAAATCAAAAAATGTTTTAATCATATAAAAAATGACGTTAATTAAAAATCTCTCATAGTTTATACTGTATTCTTCAGCTGTAAAAGAATGCATAAATGCACTCTATGTTCTTTAATAATCCATAAGTATAATGAATATTTTATATCAAAACTATGAACTAATGAAGGTCAAAGAAAGAACTACAATCATGATAGCACAGATAAGTCATTATTACATATAATTTGTTTCATTTTTGTATCAGCTTTCATTGAAATTCATTCCATTTCTTGAAAACAAGGATCATCTGTGTCCATGTAAACAATCCAATAATTTTAAACTTAAAGTTTATTCAGTCATTATAAAAGTATAATCAAATAATAACATAGAAAGTCGGGTATTTTTCCAATTCACTAATACACACAATAATAAATCATACCGATAAATAAATTCAAAGAATGAATGCTTTTGAGGTTCTAAAGTTTCAGTCTCAGATCCCTTAATAAAGTTATTGAACAACAACTTTAAAAAGTCAAAATATCCATTACTTTATCAAAGGACAAATTTCTTTTTAAGTACAATTATTATTGTGTCTGCATTCATCAGTATTTAACATAGTTTTTAAAATATATATATGCATACTTTCATAGCTTTAATTTAAAATATTTTAATTTTGTCAACTTGCTTTTTACTATTTTCCATATGTTAAGAAAAATCTTTGCAGAATATAGCAAAAATATACATATCTTCTGTTATATATATATCCTCTGTTTAATGTTTCCTGATAGAATCTCTCTTGGTTTTTAATACTCAAATTTTCTAAAATACATATCTTCAATATAATGTTTTTCAAAGTTTATGTAGAAAAATTACCTACTAAAATCTTAATATATTATTTTTAACAAAATGATATATAGGAAAAGCTTCAAGTTGCATTCCAAATACAATTGCTAAAACATCAAAATCACATGTAAATGTTTTGAAAAGCATGCCAAGTGTCAACAAATGGAACGTCTCTCTCAGATGTTACTGGCACTGGAAGAGCATCATAGCATCATACTGACTTCTCCTATAACAGAATGTCTAAATATGCTTACATGACATCATTAATATTATTCAATCATTTTACAGAAGTGTAAGTGACATTTTTTAAAAACATGTTGTAATTAATACCATTTTTTTTTTTTACTGTAAATGTTTGTCTGTGTTTATTTTTCTAACAAACCTACTATGTGTTATTTGGCATGCATGCAGATTATACACTTTACTACATACAAAATAGCTATTTGTTAACAAATATATTAATTGTTTGAGATCAGGAAGCAATGTTTAAAGCATTTTACATCATATACATCATATGATAATTTGTTTTATATATATGTGCATTTTACTATGTTTTAATTATTTTTTATGAAATTGGTTGGTTATTTAAATGGACACTATAACACAATTTTTCCTACTTAAAATAATGGAAAATAGCTTTCAGTAAGACACAGAACATCTAATTTTTAGGAACATATCATTGACATTAAGCAGATGCCTGCATTTTATTATTCTCATTTCATTACCTCTTAAAGTAGTTCTTGTTATTTCTATAAATACATTATTTTTAGCCACTATTCCAAATATGTAAAAAGTAATGTATAGTTACTGTGACAATAATTATTATTTCTAATGTTCATATGAAACATACTGTTTAAATTTGCATCAGAAATGAAGCTTTTCTAATATCAATTTTAATTTTTATGCATTTCTTTTTATTATTAATTTTTATATTCAAGAATTTATTCAATTAGTTAACATAATCATTTTACAATTTACTGTAATTCATTTTCATAGATATTTCAAGGAAGAAGAATTCACACTCATTTCTTAAGAAAAACTGGCAGTTCTAAATGTCTGAAAAGTATTAAATCACTGTTTGCATAAAGGATCAACCAATCAGATTTGCTTAGCAATCAGATAAAGCTTGTTTGGCTGTCAACCCAATAATATTTTGATTTACTGCTTTCTTAATCTCATTTTTTTGCTGTCTGATAGTTTTTGGCAATCTTGAAAATATAAATAAATATATAATTTGTCAAAATTCTCTTATATGAAAAGCTGCAATGTGAAAATTCAATACTGTGATATGATCAGCATAAAAATACAGAATTTGCAAAATATAGGACTTAAAACAATAGATAAGTAATTCATATAGCAAGAAATAGATTTAACAATAGAATATAATTTTGGAGAAATGTTCATAATTGTTATCATAACTCAGTTATTAGTACAGTGAGTTTTGAAACAGAAAAACAAAGTTCCGATCCTAGAAATTTCTTCTTCTTTATGCATAAAGATTATATTATATATATATCACAATTATCTTAATTTCTCTTACATTTATCTATTATAAGTTCATCTAACAGATGATGAACAATATTAAAATAAACTAAAAAACAAAATGTATACAGAAAGTATGGACATCTCTAATGCTATGCCAGCAAATTTTTCACTGTGATCTTATGACAACTGAAATAATGAAAAAAGATAATTCTTTTTCGCCTGTATGTCCTTACTTTATTGATTTCTTTTTTTGTATCTTTGTCTACATTTCACTTTATCTATTAATAGGACTTATTACACTGGTGTAGTTTCCATTTAGCAAATAGAGGAAAACTTATGAAGAAAACTCAAAACAAAAATGTTCTGAATCAGTTCTCCTCTATCAATGTAGACAAAGATACAAAAAAA